ATGAAAAAAAAGAAGACAGTCAGCCGAGAGAAATTCGACTTAGAAATTACCATTCAGTATTTGTTATTTTTCACAGATGTTAGATGCTTGGCTGATAAGGTGTCAAATTGATGCGCTATTCATTGCAAACATTACAGAATCGAAACTGAACTGACCTCGGCTCTATGCCCACAACAGCTATCCGGATTCTTCCACTTCCTCGCATAATAATTGGCTGCGTAATGTCCTGATCATGGCATGTCGCCAATTTGAAATCATGACGAATCAAGTTCATTCTCCACCGTCACCGTAAACATTTCCAACTCCAGACCAGGAGCTTCAACCGTCAACTAGAACCACAATTTAATTTCATAGCTCTTTTTGATTCGACTGACTGTAATATATAAATAAAACTAGCGGAGCAAAACAATCATCCAGAAAAAAAAACATTTATATGATAGGCAATTTCAAGAAAGAAAAAAAAAGAAACCATACAAACATACAACATGCTTTCCAGGTGGAAGCATTCTCCAGTACTCTCCAGCGCTCGTTGCACGTATGGTTTTACCTTAAAATATTTTACTCTAAAATAGAAATGTACAGTTGCGGTCAAAAGTGTTCGCCAAAACGATTTTCCGTGCATTATTTTTCTCGCTTGAGCAACGCCCTCTAAAGATTGATATACTGTGTTTCCTTTGAAAAATCAGGATATTCAACAAAAAAGTTCCGAGACCATCACTGATTTTTTTCTGGCAAAAGAAAGCACGAAAAACCGTTTCGGCGACACTTTTGACCGCCACTGTACATGGGGTGGCCCAAAAAAACATCCAATGACTTCACTATACATCTTCTGACAGCTATTAATCACACTTTCTGTATGAAACAAATCGACTGCCTCCAACTCATTCTTTAAGAGCACATTCTAATCTATCTAAAAGTTACATGACAGCTTTGTAAACCCGACGACGTCAGAAGATTTTCCCACGGAAGCATGGTTCACGGTACGAGCTCAACGAGGTCGTCGAGGTACCATAGAAGACTTTACGACGACTTACGCTAGGTTCAAACTGGTATTGGCATGCGTAGTCAGTTAATGTCTGAAAAGCTATTCGACAGGACAATCATCGCCCCCCTGTTGAAGAAATTACTTAGCAGTTTCAGGCTGGAGCGATTACGGTAAGCCTCGTTGAGCTCGACGGTGGCGGCAGATGACGTTATATTCTGAAGACGGCGCGGGAGTGAAGTGAGGGGCCTGCTTCTGTTTACGGGGAACACCTAAGGAATATTCCGCCGTAAACTTTCATTAATCGTCGGCTCCTCTGTGCGACGAAAAGTTTCGATGATGTGCGCAATGGACCAGGATGCCAGCTGTCTATTTTTTTTGGGCATTCCTGTATGTTTCCTAGACTTGCAGATGTTTTACATTCATAAATGGCTTTTGAAAACTGATCAAACAGAGAATATCACCTAGTGTTCCTACCTCCTCAACGGCGATAGTGGCATTTACTGCGGCTTCCCACTTGGGTCGGTCACCAAGCCATAAACACCTTTTTGCGCCATTTCTAGTACTGATATTAGAGAAAATTGGTTCTCCTCCCAAAATCTGAAATTATGCGAAAAATAAAAAAGGATTGAGCACATCCACAGAATTTCAAGATTGAACGCTTGATTGAGAATAGTCTCGGACGCTTGATGATGAAGGAATAAAGCATAATGATTACAACAGTGAGGCTATATATGATCCGCGATGTAGAACAAATCACAATTAGAGAAACTACAACTTTTGGGGTGGTACGCAATATTACTTTATAAGGACGCCATGACCATAGGGACCGTGGGCTTTTCTTTCTCCCGTCTCGAATGAGGGCGGTAAGACCTATTCAAACAATCCTTCACCTTTTTTCTGGGAAGCAGATTCGACACCTTTGTCTTTTGAAACATTTATGATTCAGAATGGGATCCCACTAAGATAATGTTGACAGGCCATAGCCATCCCGCTCCCTCTCCTCCCACAATTTGCTACTCTTTCCTCCCTTTGGCATACTAGATGACCCACAGTGCTATCGTTACGGGGGACCGTTTTTTTATTTTTATTTTAAAACACTTAAATCAGCTGACAACAGTGAAATCACATCATCAAAAAGATAGAAATGAACGGCAACTGGTAACCAACTTCGGCAGCATGTCATTTGTAGGGAACTTGTAACACCCCATTTCAATGGTGACCTCGAACGAATTTGTATGTGTGTACTGCCAATCCTGCATGCCACCGGCCAAATGATACCTAAACAAGTGATCTACGTGAGTATAAGACATCGAAACGTACATATATGCACGAACCAATCAGCCCCATTTGTGATTCCGTTCAAGAATACATCTCCGTCAGCAGAGAGGCCGCATCGCCGACCAGTTTTCCACATGCGTGGGTGAGCTCGAGCATATCGATAGGCGATTTCAACAAAGAGCCTATCGTCAGGAGTCTGAAGAACAGTGCTGTCAGTAAGGCTCGAAATTCATGAAACGTTCAAGCAACAAGCTAAATATTACTCATTCAAAAGGAGAAATAGAGGTTATCTTTGGGAAGGGCGTATTATTCACATGTTAATGGTGGCGAGGATGAACTCGACGAAAAAAAAATCGTTGAAGTCGTTGCTCCAATGAAATCTATTTTATGTAGATAATAGGAGATACACATGAAAAGAGCAAAGGTGAATGTGGGCCGGGAAATTTCGAAAACAAGGCTGACGGTTCAACACTCATCTTCGGTAAAGCCTGTAATGTGCGTGTTGCGACACCGCTATTGCCGCGATTCGGATGGCCCCAGACAAGGTGAAGGTAGCAGGAAGCGCGAGAGAACCAAAAGTAGTAGGAAACTGAGAAAACAAACCGCTGAGTAAATATGGTCTTGACCAGTCACCGAATCGTCGAAAGGATAATTTGCCACAAGTGATCCTAAATAGTGGTCGGTATTACAAAAGTGTGCATATTAACGGTAAGTTGGATCGTTTCTACTTCAAAATAAGTCGAGATGCATTTCCAACTAAGGTTTCCGATCCTCGATATTATTCACGGAGCCTCACTGCTGTTTGAAATTAGCGGAGCAGTCTGCACCCTGCATGGGAGAATGAGATCACGTTGGACTCATTTTCGACCTATTCGTTATGACCATGTGAGGCTCATTGTTCTATTGAAGACTTTCTCAGCTTATAGCAAGCGCGAGGAATAAATCAATAAAAGTCACGTACAACGTCACATGGAACTGAAAAGCTGAACCTTCCATCACAGCCTCAATTCAGCCTTACCATAGAATTTTTGCAGTCTCTCGGCCAAAACCCACACAGTCAAAAAATTTTCTAAATTCTGACCTCCATGCAAATTTGCGCTGACGACGAATGGGTATTGCTGCAGCCACTTCATCACTGCTGCCGTTTCCGGCTCTGGGTCTCCTCCACCGGACTGTTCACGATGTGATGGAAACCTTGCCGGAAAGTTGCGATTCAGATCGACATTATGTTCGTTACTGCGTCCCTGGAATTTACAGAGAAAATAGAGCAAGCAACAAATTTTTGCTAATGGATCTTTTCTACAGGGTAGCCAAAAAGTCATTCCGTCCATGAAACACATCAACAGCACGCCCTTCTGCAGTGCCCTCAACTTCCTCAGAATGACGTCATCTGCCATCACCGTCGAGCTCCAGGAGGCCTACCGTGATCGTTCTAGTCTGACGCTGCTACGCAATTTCTTGAATCGCAACCAACGGACAGCCTTCTGAAGATAGTGACTATGCCACACTCCTTCCGACCAACGTATCAGGTAAGGTCGCAGAGGCATACGATTATCGGGGACCTCGTTGAGTTCAAACTATAAACCATGTTCCCTTGGCAAAATTTTCTGCGCCGGGGTAGAAAGATATTATGGCCGTTTTAAATAGACTGAAATGCACTCTTAATTTTTTTGCCCCTTCCCCCGTACTTCCCTTTCTTCGACCTCCCACCATACCGTGGAATCCTCCTGCGAAGGATCGACGATAATACCCACTGGATTCAGCCCCTTCACCTCGGACCAAGTCAAACACGCCGGGGGGGGAAGGGCGTGCAATTGCGAACTATTGTTTTCGAACTTTGACCTCAGCCGGCGCCTACACACCTCACCTCGGGACTGGAAGTCGCCGTCGATTAGGGCAGATCGGCCGCACCAACCACCCACCAGCGATCTTGAGAATGTAGCTCGCGCCATGCAAGCTCGCCCCCCTTCCATTCCGGTATCACTAACTAGCTCACCATTCTCGCAGCCAGTAGCTGAGTTTCTATATGACACGTGTGTCTGCATTTTCCACAATTTTCCCTCCAAAACGACCCCGAGCGGGTTAAGGAAGAGAGAGGGAGTAAATGGTATCATGAAAGTGGCAAAGCTTCATCCGCTTCCAATTATGTTCTAACATTCTCACACTGTTCGTCCACACAAAACCGCACAATACACAACGAATCTTTAATGACCTCCGTCAACCTCCGCTCCTACTATGATAACCTCGCTCAACTCTAAAATGTGGCCCTTTCCTGAAATCACAATTGCGATCGCCTTGTTCGAATAGTGCGAACGGATGGTTGACCCTGCTTTGAACTCGATCTGCGAGCTCTGCGACTTCCTCCCTGTAGACCGATTTCCGGTATAGAGGCCACACTGACCACCTACCGCATATTCGACTAATTGCTTGAAGACCTATTTGTAAATCTCCAATCTACAGGCTATACATATTTACTAATATAAGGAGCATTAATGCAAGCCTACACAAGGCATGGTCTCGGAAAGTGGGGAAGTAGATTATCAGCGTGTAGCGCTCGTTTGAGGCATTAGATTGGTCATAACTATATACCGAGAAGCAATCATTCACAAACATCTCGAAAGGCAACATAAAGTGCTCACAAAGCCCTATCTACGGCGTTATTCCTGTATAAAGAATTTATGGAGAAATCTGGCTCCCTTCAATATCGTTGGACGATTGTAAAACTAGGCTGAACGCAGTGTCGTTCGAATGCGACAACTACTGCCAGAATTGATCACTGCGAAATTGCCTACCCCAATACAGTAAATAGAAGCTGCAATACACCAAGAAAGGGAATGTGACATAAGTACCAAGAAAGTAAAATCATTTTCAGCCACCCTCAATTACTTTAGCTACCGCCTTTGTCATGCTCACGTAGCACCTAACATCCAATGTCTTGACTTCGTATTCGAAATTCGAGCCAAAGAAGCCTTATAGGGTGATCATAATGTATAATCACCGATAGGTTCTCTGCTACTCGGTAAAGATAGTCGCAGCGTTGAAAAAAAAATTGTACAATTTTTGAGATGATTCCTCCAATGCTCTGTTCACAAGCCGATCGATGGATGCACAATCCAGTTCCTTTTCTCCTGTCATCGAGAACGATTTAGCGTCAAGGCCGTTTGAGAAGAATTTACTCGATTTTATAATAGACCGATTTATGAGACACGAAGCCCCAACATAAGCTGGCTCCAAACTTACCGCCTTGTTTCAGCATCTTTGACCCAAGCCGTACACTATGTGACCTAGGTCGGTGGTTTATGACTGCGTTCCCAGTACAGAGCGGACATCCTATGTCTGCGACTGTGCAGAATTAATGATGCAGAATTCGGTCGCAAAAAGCTACTAACATAGTATCCGACACGATCTCCTAATTGTCCGTGCTCATAGCCGTCCGGATTCATCGAGGGCATAAAATGGATTCGTTGGTTATTGACGAAACTTGTTAAATATTCATTCTTCCCATAATTTGAGCAGAGAACTTCGATTAAGTACAGTACAGCTTCGCGTCCCACAACCTGAATAAGAGATATCGTTTCGAGAAAAAAATATGTATAAGCAGCTCTTACAGAAAAATCCAAACCTCGTTCCCATGCATATTGGCCACAATTTTCACTTCAGGTTCGAGCATTTCGTGCTCTTTCGGATTGTCTGAAACAACAAGAACCCAGAGTTCACGACCCTGTACACTTTTCCCCACCGAGTACAAGTATGTTATGTTCGGATAGTTGAGTACTGCTGCCTGAAAATAATCAAGAAAACACGTCCCTCAAATCTAGCACATGTTGTCGATAAAGATCCCAAAAAATGGAGAGAAGAAAAATCAAAGTAGAAAGCGTAGAATCGTCCACATTGAAATCTCACCTTCAGCCATGCTGTCATTTCAGTATAGTTGTGATTGACCAGTTTTGAACGATCAACGTCCTTGAACGTACCAATTCTAGAATGCAATGGATGTACTCGCAAATATGCATTTTGCAACATCGAATTTCCAGTTACAACTCTTCAGGCCCTAATTGTGCTTCGGCCTTAACTTGCAATGTATACGCCTGTACATTAATCCTTTCGGCATTGTTTCGACATAAGCTTAAAAACAAGAAGGTGGGCCAATTTTCAAAGCTTCTTAGTTTCTTTGTTTGTGATCGAATAGCTTCCAAATTTCGCCATAATGATACCTATATGCTCACAAGTAATAAACAATAGCTAGAAAAAATTTTTCCACGGGGAAAAATTCAGGTCCGAAAGGGTTAAATGTGCACAGTAATAGATTTTGAGAAAGAGCATTGTCAGAAATATGAAATAAG